GTAGCTTATATATTTAACCTGGATATAAAGCTTAGCCTGAAGAATTGTATCATTTCACTGTTTGTTTAGCTTCCCTAGCCTTTCATTTGTTAGTGGTATTTGTTTTCTACATTAGCACCCATGTTATCTGAATAGATTTGCTGTTTCTAGCAAAATTTGGCCCAGCTGATATCATTATTTTTGTCGTTAGCAGAAGCATCTGGTAGAGGAAAAGAAAATGGCAATCTAGAGTCGGCACCTAGAATTTCTCAAAGGACACCGAGTAAGAAAGGCAGCCCATTACTTTCTACTGATGGTGCTGCTTCCACGTCTGGTGTTGCTTCCCAAACTGCATCCGGTGTACTCTCTGGTTCGGGTGTGCTGAATGCTAGACCGGGGAGTGCCACATCATCTGGACTACTTTCCCACATGGTGTCGACAATGAACGCAGATGTTGCCAGGGAGTACCTTGAAAAGGTGGCTGACCTTCTGCTTGAGTTTGCTAAAGCTGACACAACTGTAAAATCTTATATGTGCAGCCAAAGTCTTCTTAGCCGTCTCTTCCAGATGTTTAACAGAATTGAGCCCCCGATTCTCTTGAAGGTATTAAAGGGAATGGATGTTACGTACCCTTGTCATAATAAAGTTTATTTTTTCCTCTGTAATCTCATCTTGTTACTCAACTTTCAGATCCTCAAGTGCATCAACAACCTGTCTTGTGATCCCAACTGCTTAGAGAACCTTCAGCGGGCTGATGCAATTAAGTTCTTGATCCCAAACCTTGAACTGAAGGATGGACCTCTTGTTGGTCAAATTCATGATGAGGTAAGGTTTTTATTTATTTATTTATTTATAATGCATGATGAGGTAAGGTTTCCGGACATGAAGAATGAGGAAATATCCACACACACACAAAATTAAATGCAGTGAATATGACATGCTTTTCTATCGCTTAAGCAATCCTAACAACTGCAAACCGCACATCTCAAGGCTCGATTTTGGACGGGCAATGATCCAATTCAATTTTGGAATCTGACTGAATCGGCATAGAACAAAATAAAAAATGAAGGGGAAATTGGATTGAAAGTGCATTACATCCAATTTGGTTCAGTGTGGTTTCAGTTCAGTCCGTTTCTTCCAATGTTCTTAAGAGAAGCCATGGAACCGGAACAAAAAAAAAAACCCTTGAATTTTGAGAATCGAAACCTAGTTGAATTATATTTTCATCTAGCTCCACTCGTTCAGAATATCTATTTGTCTGATTTGGTCAAGTGAATCCTTGCTCATTCCTATCAGGCATACTGCCTGTTGTTTGTATTAGAGCAATCACTCAGATATCATGGAACCAATTTTATATCACAAATTTTTCTCTAATTTTCTGCAGGTCCTTCATGCTCTCTTTAATCTGTGTAAGATAAACAAGAGGAGACAGGAGCAAGCTGCTGAAAATGGAATCATTCCTCACCTGATGAATTTTATCATGCAAGGATCTCGCTTAAAACAGTATGCATTGCCTCTGCTGTGCGACATGGCTCATGCATCCCGGAATTCCAGAGAGCAATTAAGGGCCCATGGTGGATTGGATGTGTATTTGAGCCTGCTGGATGATGCATCATGGTCTGTGACAGCATTGGACTCCATTGCTGTTTGCTTGGCTCATGACAATGACAACCGCAAAGTGGAGCAAGCTTTGCTTAAAAAGGATGCAATTCACAAGCTAGTGAAGTTTTTCCAGAGCTGCCCTGAGCAACAGTTTGTGCATATCCTCGAGCCTTTCTTGAAAATCATCACGTAAGTGATTTGTTTTCTTGTGGTTTGCTTTTATACTTTTTATGCCATTTTCTGTATCTAAGAATTGAAGCAAGCTAAAATGGTTTTTTGTTTTCCTTGCCCTTTCCGCTGTATGGCATTGTCTTCTTAACAATTTTTTTTCCATGTTCGATGTGTCGCCTGGTCTAAATGTGCAGGAAATCATCACGGATAAATACTACGCTGGCTGTTAATGGTTTGACACCATTGCTCATTGCAAGGCTGGACCATCAGGATGCCATAGCTCGTCTCAACTTGCTTAAACTAATAAAGGTAGAGTCTCTACTGTTCCCTGTTGTGTTGCATGGATGTTCTTTCAACTACTTATACACTCACCCAGCAATTGAATGAGAAGCAAGCATCGTTTTGTCTTTGTCAAAGCTTCTCTTCAGTGGCCTTTTTGTTTAGAGGGTAAATGCCACAATTGGTCACTGAGATTACTAAATTGTGTCATGTTTAGCCACTAAAAAAATTTAATATCAATTTTGGTCACTCGAATTACTGAAACAGGTCACATTTAGTCACTCTCCCGTTAGTTTCTGTGCAACTCCATTAATGGAGTTGGACGGAAACAAACGGGAGTGACTAAATGTGACATGTTTCAGTAATTGGAGTGACTAAATGTGACATGTTTCAGTAATTCGAGTGACTAAATGTAACCTGTTTTAGTAATTCGAGTGACCAAAATTGATTTTAAAATTTTCTAGTGACTAAACATGACACGATTTAGTAAATCTCAGTGACCAAATGTGTCTTTTACCTTTTTGTTTACAACAAATGTGCTTAACTTGGCGTTTCTTTTCCCTTCATCCTAGGCTGTATACGAGCATCACCCTCGGCCGAAGCAATTGATCGTAGAGAATGATTTGCCTCAGAAGCTTCAGAACTTGATCGAGGAACGACGAGACGGCCAAAGCTCCGGTGGTCAGGTATTGGTAAAACAAATGGCTACCTCGCTGCTTAAAGCTCTACACATCAACACGGTTTTGTAAAATGTGAATATGGTAAGTCGTGTATATTGTTTTTGTTGGAAGAACTTGGTTTAGGCTATTCCCGTTGTTGTATTGTAATATCAAGCGCTTCTCTGTGTTTCTTTACCCCTCTGGTGTGTACCCTGAACGGCTTGGGGTTTAGGGTGTGTGATCATTTCGATTAATTTAGGAACTGTGACGCAGGTAGCTCGCCATATATTTGTTTGTACGAGCTACCTACGCCTTCGTGATTGATTTCTTTTCTTCTTCTTTCCTTGTTCAAGAGTTAGTCGCGCTGAGTTTATTTGTTTCAGCTATTGAAGGTGTTTGTTTGTTCAGTACCGTACTACACATGATGCCATAGTGTTGCAAGCTTACTTTGGCTTCAAGGACCTCTTTTTTCCCAGCCTTCTTTTCTGGTCATTGTTAAATTCACTTTGATGTTGCTGTAGTGGCGTAAGATTTTCACATAATTCTGTATTTCTGATTCGTTTGTACTAAACCTACAGCCATGTGTTATCTGTTATTATGGATCTGTTGAAGCTGGTGCACTAGATGCTCTGGCCGTTGGTGACTCACTGGTGTAGCTTATGTGGACGTCATGTATTCGGCACACCAGGAGTGTGCCCAAATGCATAATCAGATCTGGTATCTTGCTTTTTTTTGTAAGGGCGAAATGAATTTATTAAAAAGAAACGATTATACAAAAGCCAACAGAGCACAGGATTAAATTGATCCTAACTATGGGAAAACAAAGAGACCAAGAGGAAAAGTAACAGGGAAAGTCAGGTCCCGACTTAGATAAAAGTGTTTTTTTTTTGTAGGAAGGCGGAAGACGGTGCGTTCTAATTCATTAAACCGATGCAACGATCTATGGAGTCATACAATAACCATTACAAAGATTGGGTTCGTACTCATTGAAGGAATGTATACCAAAAGGGGCCAAATGACCGTTGCTTGTCAAGAAATCGCCTGCGAAATTTCCCCCTCTATAGACATGGGAGATTTTAACCTCCCAATCAAAATTCAAAAGTTTCCCAATGCGTGCCTGTGATGAGTCAATGTCGGTGATCCGTGTCTTCGGATTTTTTCATGATGTTGATTTTCTGTTGAAGAGTCGAGGTTCAATTCAACCTTGCGAAAGCCCTTCTCCCACGCTCTTTGCAGCCCAACTTCTGCTCCTCTAAGCTCGGCCATGGTAATTGTGCAGCTCCCCAAGTTGCAGGTGAAGGCGTCAAGGCATCTTCCAAGGTTGTCTCGAAGGAGACCCCCTGCTGCTGCATTCCCTGAATTTTGCATAACTGTTCCGTCAGTCTGGATTTGAATCCAACTTTCTCTAAGTGATGCAAAATTTAATAAGCTGTTCATAAATTAATAAGCTGTTCATAATAGGCAAGAATGCTCGGAAGCGACGAAGTGGGGAGTGAATCAGTCGGTAAGAAAACTCAAGGGATCCAACAAGGATCTATTGCTCAAATCAAAATTGAAGAAACTCAGTGTCATGTTAAAATCCAGAGTTGGATATTGATAAAATGAGCAAATTCTGAAATGATGTCCATGATCATAACCGAGACAAATGTAGAGGTAACACTATATTGACTTTTGTATAACATTATTAGTATATTTTTTTTTATATGGAACGGTGGGTTTTGTTCATAAAAAGTATTGCTAGCAACAACCCTTGTTAGTTAGACTGTCACAACTCACAAGTGTGAGACGAGATTAAAAACGGCAAACTACTACACCGGTTAAAAGAAGCTACTACTAATGCCCAGCCTCTTTAACAAACACCATGTGCTCAAGTGACCCAAAATCATTAGTGATTAATTTCTTATGGTATTACTTATTGAAGTTTGGCCCTTCAAACTTTTTTTTTTATAAAAAACAATCTACCATTACCAATACCATCCCATTCCCTGTTCATATGTGCAAGTGCAATTCTTCTTTATCTTGGATAAACTTCTATTGCAAGTTGCAACCCATGTTGAATGAATCTGGTCACTGATTTACATGGGCCGGGTCAAAGACTTGTAGCAGGCCCAGCCCAACTAAGTTGATTCTTAGGTCAAAACCACCGCTGACCAGACAAAAGAGAAACCAGAGAGATAAGACACACTCAGTCACACAAGTAACACACACATGAAGAAGATTCCTAATTTGAAATTTCCTATGATCCTATCCTAACATGATTAGACACGCAAAAACATTAATTAAAAAAACAAAACAAAACCAAAACCCAAGGGAGAAGAGAAGAAGAAGGAGCGAGGGAACGAGAAAGACAGTGGCCGATTTTTTTTAATTATCAATCCAATCTCCAGACGTGCGCTGCTGCTTTCCTCCAATCCAAGAATTCCACTCTCTCTCTCTCTCTTTCTCCGTCTCGTATCGGAGATTCCCACACACCTCCGCCCGTCGTTTTCTTCTCCTCCCCCCATTGCTCCGAAACCAACGAAATTCTCTTTCCCTCGCTTCCCCCCTCATATTTGTTTCCATATTGTCTGTTCCGCACATTAGTGACGTCTGATTCAGCTTTCCATTCCCGGTATCCCCAAAGCTCCCCCCTAATCTTCTTCCTTCTCTAATTTACTCCCCGTCCCATAAACAATATCAAATCGGGATTCCGGCGACGTTTACTGTTTTGACTCGATCATCAGAAGAAGATGAACCCAATAGGCCCTGTCGCTTTCTGATTTTCGTTTCGAGCTTTTTCTGTCTTTTGGGTCCTTCTTCAAGTAATCAAGTCCTCCCTTCTTGTCCCGGGATTTCGGGACTCTCTGGGTTTCTTTCACCTTGCGATTCTTAATCTTGGGTTCGCCTCAGTTTTGTGTGTTATGTCAGATTTATAGAGCTGTTCTGCTCTATTCAGTTCGAATTCACAGGAAAGCTGTGAACTTTAGGGGAGGGGGTTTTTTTTTTGAGAAGGACGCGGCGGGTTTTAATGAACTGACTAAATGATCAAGAAAGGAATGGCGAGGCACAACAGAGGAGAAGATGGCTCAGAGATTACCCACCTGGGCTTGCTCAAAATGCTGCAAGTTCTCTCTTTTTTACTGGTATTCGTTGCTGGGATCATTCTTGGCTTGCTAGCTAGTACTCACATCAACAGCCTCTTCAATTCACAGAGGGATTTGCTTTTCACTTCCAACTTTGCTGTTACTACCACGAGCATTTTATCCGATGGTAGCAGCAGCAGCAGCAAGTGCAACACAACAAATTCGGAGCCTTGCAATTGCAAGTCTTGTGACGGTGACAGCAAGGTTGATTGTTTGAGCATCAACACGTTTCTTCACCCGCATAACTTGACGCATGGAATGAGTGATCGAGAGCTTTTCTGGAGGGCTTCTTTGGTTCCTAAGAAGGAAGAGTATCCCTTTGATCGAGTCCCTAAGGTGGCTTTCATGTTCTTGACTAGAGGGCCTTTGCCCTTGTTGCCTCTGTGGGAGAGGTTCTTTAGGGGCCATGATAAGTACTTCTCTATTTATGTTCATACCGATCCTGGTTATGTGTTCAATGTTTCCAGCGGTTCTCCGTTCTATGGAAGGCAGATTCCTAGTAAGGTATGGATTGTTTCTCCCTTGTCTGAGAAGTTTGTTTGGGATATGGATTACTTTTCTTTGTCATGATGCCACAGATGTTGGTTGTGTCCTTTTAGCTTACTAGCTTAGATAGCACGGAAACATTTTTAGGAGAACCATTTTCCAACTACCTATTCCATATCACACTAGTGGAATAAGGTGAGGGAAATTAAGAACTGTGACTATATCAATAGCTTGTAGGCATTGAGTTTCAGTAGGCAGGTGGGTGAATCTTGTGAGAATTGCTAGTAGTCTTGATGAACTTTGTGGGTCAAATCTTGCTTGAGCATGGATTTGATATGTAAGTGCATATTACTCTGGTTTAGGTTATGAGCGGCATATGGATGACAATTACAGACATAATTGATTACTCTTCGTTTTACTAACAGAAGGAAACAAAACTTGCAGTTATATATGGTTAATATGTTGTGATTAGAAAGGGAACGTTTGGAGCTTGCTTGATTTCATATCATTCTCATGCTTCTCTGAATCACATCATTAAATTTGGATTTAGGTTGGACTTGAATCTCTTTATTTAACTGATGATAATAAACTACAAAAGTTGCTATGCTTCTGTCTTTTTACGACTTTATACACTTTAATTTATATCTAAGCTAGTGAAATACCATCCAGCACTTAATGGTTGGTAAAATACAAAACAGTAGAATCTAGTGCAGTAACTGTTGGGCAGTTGGTATAGAGCATGATAGTTAAACTAGTTATTCTTGGGATGTCTCTCAAATCTTAAAGTGCTTCTTTTTCTTCCCCTTTGCAGCATGTGGAATGGGGATCAGTATTACTGCTCGACGCTGAGAGGCGCCTCCTTGCTAATGCCCTGCTGGATTTCTCAAACGAGCGGTTCATTCTTCTCTCAGAGAGCTGCATCCCTGTCTATAATTTCAAAACAGTCTACAACTACCTCGTCCATTCTGAGCACGGGTTTGTGGAGGCTTATGACGATCCATCCCGGTATGGGCGTGGCAGATACAGCAGGAAGATGCTTCCGTACATCTGGATCAGACAATGGAGGAAAGGTTCTCAGTGGTTCGAGATGCAGCGGGCCTTAGCTGCCTATGTGGTCTCGGACACAAAGTACCACAGGCTGTTCAAGAAATACTGCACCCCTGCTTGCTACCCTGATGAGCATTTCCTCCCAACTTTCATCAACATGTTCCATGGATCAATGAACTCTAACCGAACTGTGACTTGGGTCGATTGGTCATTGGGTGGCCCGCATCCAGCAACGTACAGTGCGGTTAATATCACCGAAGGGTTCATACAATCGATCCGGATGAATCAAACGCTGTGTTCCTACAATTCGGGAGTGACCCCTATTTGCCATCTGTTTGCTAGGAAGTTTGATGCAAGTGCATTGGAGCCTTTGCTCAACCTCACTTCCAGGGTAATGGAGTTCTGAAAGAGTGTCTTTTTTTGTTTGTTGTTACTGACAGTGGGAATGCAGTGGGATGGATAGGTAATTTTTTTTTTTTTTTTTTGAGGGGATTAGTTCTGAGGAAGGGGGATGATTTTCGTTGTACAGATAGCTAAGAGGGGAGTCTTAGTGATAATATATCATGATTTAAAAGTAATGCCTGCTACTGAGCAGATTTTTGGGGGGCTTGTAGTTGTAGTATCAAACTGCCAATCCAATTTTTGAAGGGAAAGCAAGAGTTATAATACAGAGAGCATGATTGAAGGTGAATTCTATCATGCTACTTGCGTTAAACTCCCATTGCTAACATGTTGCTTGTGTATCAAACTTAGTGTTGTGGAAGGAGAATTTGTTGTTTCAAGTAATGTTCTCTCTATACGGGTCCGGGTCTCCTATCATAGAAAGAAAAGTAATGTTCTTTCAAGTTGGTATAAGTAGATGAGCAAGCTTTTGAGAACTAGCATTACGTGACTCGCTCTTTTATCCACCTATATTGTATTTTGCGTTATATGATATTTTATTGTACTCATTGAGATTTGGGAGAGGTGATTGCTTGATAGTTGGTAATACTCCTTTCCCTATTACAATTCGTTCTATGACACATTAAGATTGATTGGGATGCTTGTTTCAATAGTTCTATGATAAAATGATAGTTTTGGAGTTGTGATTAGAAGAAAATGTGTATTATGAGAAATTATTGATCAAATTAACTACGAATATTAGAAGTGTTTTAGTGACTTAAAAACGTAAAATCGTAAACTTTTAAGAGCGATTTTGACTACATTGTAATCTTTACCTCCTTATCAATATTTCGTGATGGTCATTTTGAAGTCATATACACACTAGGGTTCTGAAGATTATTGTGTTCATTGTGGGCTTTTAGGGGCCACGAAAAAGTTAACTAAATGCTAGGCCCAAGCCTATACAACATTCAGCGCGATAACACACCCCGGAATCAGAAACTGACCACCGGAAACTCCGGCGCCGCCGTCAGAGTTCGAGCTGCAGCACAAACACAGACGCTCTAGCTTAGCTACAGCCGGCGCCGCCGGGAACCTGTCTCAGAAGAAGTATAGTACAGTCTATAGGCACCTATTAGTGTCCTGAATTTGAGCTTCTTTCATCCGTCGAATCATAACAAGGTTCTATTTCGCGTACTTCCAGGCTCCAGGAATGGAATGAGAAGAAGTGCACCGGAAAATTAGGTTTCAGCGATTTGACCTCTGGATCATCCGAACATGGATTCCCGCTGTTTCATATCCGATTTCCATTCGAATTCCGTTTTCTCACCACCAGTTCCAAAAGCCCTCAATAAACCCTTCCTCGCTCTGCCTTGTTGCTGGTCCGCTCGAGCCCACCGCTGGCTCTACTTCGAAGACGCCCAATTTTCAGCTTCTCCGAGGACAACAAAGAACCGGTTTTTACCAAATCTGGAATGCATTAACATTAGGGCGAGTCGGGAATCAATCAAGAATTCTGCCGAAGAGAAGAAGAAGAAGAAACCAGGGGTTGCGAAGAAAAAGTTAGCAGTTTTTGTATCTGGTGGAGGGTCGAATTTCAAATCGATTCATGAAGCTTGTGTCGAGGGATCCGTTCATGGTGAAATTGTTGCTTTGGTCACCAATAAAACGGGTAAACAGTCTCTTCCGCTGTAGCTTTTATTTGAGCTCAAAACTTCTGTTCTCTCTCCCACTTCTGCTCTTGATGAATGCTACTCTGCTGGCTCTTAAATCAATGGCAAGCATTGTTAGGCCTCGTAGCTCGTTTCTGGGTCGATCAATAATCTTCCACAGAAATGCAATTACTTCGCTCCATTCTTACTATGCATCTCAACCAAGATAAACCTTCACTACCTGAAATCATTGACATGGTTAGATCTTTCTGTGAACGTCTACAGACTGTGGAGGTGCTGAGTATGCCAGAAACAAAGACATCCCAGTTCTTCAGTTCCCTAGAACAAAAGATGGTGCGGATGGATTATCCCCAACTAGCCTTGTGGATGCTCTCAGGTTCCATACTTTGCCGAAAGACAAGGGATTGAATTTTCTTTCCTCGCGTAAACATGATACAAATGTGATGTTTACACTTCATATTGTTGTCTCTGATAAGGAACTTTGAAGTTGAGTTTGTGCTCTTGGCTGGGTTTCTAAAGCTTATACCAGTGGAGTTGATCAGGGCTTATCCTCGTGCCATACTAAATATCCATCCATCGCTTCTTCCGGCTTTTGGGGGAAAAGGGTATTACGGGATGAAGGTGCATAAAGCGGTCATTAGCTCTGGTGCAAGGTAACTGGAGCTGGAAATTCAACCTCTGCATTAGATTGAACTGAATGAAACAGTGTCCTGATCTGTCATTTTCGTTCGCCCCATCTCTACTTGTCAAATGTGTTTGTTAGGTACTCAGGTCCGACAATTCACTTTGTTGATGAGCACTATGACACTGGGCGTATCCTTGCTCAAATGGTCGTCCCAGTTCTTTCAACTGATAGTCCGGAGGACCTAGCTGCCAGAGTTCTGAAAGAGGTAGCCTTTTATTCAGTTGTTCTCTGTGTAAACTGTAAAGCATGGGCAGACTTGCCGGACTACTGAAGTTTGCATATATAATTCTTGTTTGCGGATGCTTTAGGAACATAAGCTATACAAAGAAGTGGTCGCTGCACTATGTGAAGAAAGGATAGTGTGGAGGGAAGATGGTGTTCCTCTCATTCAAAGTAGACAGGACCCCAACCATTTCTGCTAGCTGCGAGAACTGGGTTTTCCGTGCATCTAGTTTATCAAACCTGCGTTTTCCGTTTCAGTTTTGGGTGAAAATGAACTTTCATGTTTTGTACTTGTGTTATTCATCGAAAATGTAGTTAAAAATTAGATTACAAAGGCTCGTTCAGGTGTCAGACTACGTCCACCGGTAATAGACGATTTTGGCCTATTGGACATAAGCTTGTGCCTCACATCACCAAATGCGGCAACATTTAGGTCTCCAAAATTAGATTCCAGCTCCAGTTTTGTATAGATGGTATAAAGCTACATGTTTAGCTAACTGAAGCGAGAATTAGACACTCTTTTAGCTAAACCTTGTACAAACTTCGTTACTCCGATCATCGACCCTGTGGTAAGGCACTTGAACAGGAAAAGCCTGGTGTTTAAACCTATGCTAACACACGAAGATTGGCGGACGAAAAATCAATATAACTTGAATTAATACAACCCAGGCAGTGCAATTAATAAGACCATAAAAGAAGGTTACGAGTGGGACACAGAAGAGAAGACACTTGAATTTCAGATTCCCATACTGCATTATACCATGAGGATGCCCTAAATCCTAAACAGCAAAAAGAAACGTTCCGCGCACCAAAAGTTAACACATGTTGTACACATTTCTCTCTCCATATCTCTTTCTCACAGGAACAAAAGGGAGTAATTTCAGCACCATAAACAACAAACACCAACACACTTCCTCGAGCTAGCTTGGAGAAGCAATCAAATCTCACCACCCACACTGGCAAACCATAACAGCCTTCTCTATATCAGGTCAGCGACATTCATTGGCATTTCGTCAATCTGGGTGCTGTAGTATTGCTCTATATCTCTCAAAATCCTGATATCATCCGACTTCACGAAGTTGATGGCCACACCCTGCACAATTAACACATGATTCCATTGCGTCAGTTCAAACCCAAGCATGTCAACCCTTTCACCAGGTTGGGGAAAAAAGAACCCGAAAATAGATATATCAACAGGATAGTTGAAAGGAATCACAAACCTTGCGTCCAAAACGTCCAGACCGACCAATTCGATGAATGTACAGCTCACGGTTGTTTGGCAGGTCATAATTGATCACAAGAGACACCTGCAGAGTTGGTCACCGCAACCACAATCAGACTTGATCGACAGTTTAAGATCACACCAATGAACCAAGTGTTTCCCAGGCTACTGCTTTTTGACAGGATATTGGTGACAAACTCGAATGAAACACCAGGGAAGCTCACTACAAGAATAAAGTTAAAATGATCAATAGAAAGAAACAAGGAAAGAAACATGCCTGCTGAACGTCTAGTCCACGGGCCCAAACATCAGTAGTGATGAGGACACGTGTAGTGCCATCCCTGAACTCTTTCATAATTGCATCTCTCTCTTTCTGAGGCATGTCACCATGCATAGATGAGACTGTGAAGTTGCTGGAGCGCATCTTCTCAGTTAACCAATCAACCTGTTAAAGATACCTCAATCAATTTTTCCACTTGCATGAAACCAGATTCATACCTATTCAATAAATGAATTATACCATAAATGCTTTCCTAATCTATAAACTACAGGCAGAAGGGACACACAATACAATCGGGTTCATAATTGGACTTTTGTAGCTCACTTCTGCTTCAACAATCAACACCACCATTTAATTCCAAGTTTTCACTTTTTTTATCTACTTAGCAGCAACTTGATGGCCGTTATTAAAAGATATGGTCTAGCAGGAAATGAGGGGGTGAAATTGCAGTTAGAAACATGTGTATGTGCACAGCCATCAGGGGGTAAGAGATATGGTATCTATTGCAAAACCAGATAGCAAATATCAATCTTCAAAAGTTTTGACAGGTCAAAAACTGAAGAAACGTACTTGCATCGAAGATGTCGATCTCAAGCACAAACCAATAGACATAAATATTTTAGTTTTAGCAGCAACCTACCTTCCGCTTTGTATTACAGAAAATAACAGCTTGAGTGATGGTAAGTGTATCATAAAGATCACAAAGAGTATCGAATTTCCACTCCTCCTTCTCGACAGCAACAAAGAACTGTTTGATACCCTGTCATCACAGAGATGCAACAAAAAGTTCCATGATCACAATTTGGCCTATGAGTTATTGCTATTCGGTACACAAATGACACAGCTACATACCTCCAAAGTCAGTTCATCACGCTTTACTAGGATCTTCACTGGATCTGTCATGAATTTTCCCGTCATCTCCAAAATTTCATTCGGCAGCGTGGCTGAGATCAAGCAAACCTAAGAGTATTGGATAAAAGATCTCAGAAAAGTAGGAAGAGAACGGAATATCTCAACAATAGGAAGTCGAAGGACACACAGTTTAGCTGGAAAGCTATAGCTATAGCCTATACATCCATAAACAAATGGTAAATTTTGTGAGTAAGCATCGGGAGGGAACCTGAAGTTCTGGTGGAAGATATCTGTAAACATCATATATTTGATCCTTGAAACCTCTGCTCAACATCTCATCGGATTCATCAAGGACTAATAGTTTAATGGCTCTAGTGCGCAAAGTCCTTCTCTTGATCATGTCACATACTCTTCCTGGTGTTCCAGATACAACATGAACCCCATGCTCTAGCTTTCTAATATCTTCACCCACACTTTTTCCACCAATGCATGCATGAGCTTGAATGTTCAAATAGCCACCTATTGCTAGGATAACCTTCTCTGTTTGTGAAGCCAGCTCCCGTGTAGGTGACAATACCAATGCCTGCACCCTGCCGTATAGAAGCGAACCAAGTCAGAAATGGAAAAGACCCGGGATATTCACATCAAACCAGAGAAACGCAATTTGAAGCAGACACTGTTGTTTGGAAAGAAAAATAATACTAGACACTGCTTCAAACAATGACTGTCCATATCTCGAGAACCCAGAAATTTGCTACTAACGAAGGAAAGCATAACAAGTGTTTGTCCGCGGCACCAAACTTAGACCGTCCCATCCTTAAGAAATTTAGACTCACCCAGCATCAATGAACCCTTTTCCAGCAAACTTTTTGCTGACTGGAAATCATAACATTCAACGATTCATAAATCGGCCTAAGCCTGCTCCACAATGAAATCAGGACAAGCTTAGTAGGAAGCTCTTCTTAAAAGGGTGTAATTTGTCAATCTTTAAGTATACTAAAACTTCCGCTTCAAGTCGTAACAAATTTAACATAAAGAAAGAAGCAAAGCATTCAAGCTATCTTCAAAACCTAGGGCATCTAGGAAAAGCTAATCTTTCAAGCAAAACAAAGTACATATAGAAATTAGGGTTTGCAGGGGGAAAGCAAATTAAAAAAAGAGGGGAAAACAGCTTACTCTTTGCTGTTGATGTCGACGACCTGGCAAACTGTGAGGGCAATCATGGAGGTCTTTCCGGTACCGGATTGTGCCTGGGCAATGACGTCTCGGCCTTTCAATATCGGCATAACGGCTCGCTGCTGAATGGCGGAAGGCTTCTCGAACCCGTACTCGTAGATTCCACGGAGCAGACTGTTATTGATTCCCATGTCGTTGAAGCTGGCGACCGGCTCGATGCCGTCCGTCGTCTCGAAGACGAGCTTGTCGTCGTCGGTGGTCGCCCTGCGGGCTCCCCGCCCCGGTGGAACTACGCTCGCCGCCATGGATGTTTTGGTGGGAAAAAAAGTTTTCTTCGTTCGCTGACTTCGGGGATGAAACCTTCGCTTTAGGATTTCAGCCGAGCTTCGCAATTTTTGTATAGAATGAAAGCTCCCAATTGGGGGTTCGGGGTTTATACATAAGGTTATAGTCGGTCTACTTATTTGGGCCTTTCTAAAACCCAAGAAAGCGGGCTCGTATTAGAGGCCCAAATCTCCGATCCTTTTTCTTTTATGAAACCAAATTCCTTATCCTTGGTTCAGTAGTACAAGATCAAGATCAAGATCGAGAAGTGAACCGGGCTGCCCATATTGTGACACGTAATGCCCTTTGCTATCCTGGTATTTGTAATGTATTATTTGATTATTCTTATATGGTCTGTCTTGAGTCCGTGTAGGGGTTGTAATTGCTGTGACCCCACACGCTTATCTGGTTAATCCGGGAGGATTTCTATGACAAAAAAAAAAAAAAGATCAAGACCAAAAATTACTGAAAATGTTGAAATAGTAATGTGAATGTCGACACATAAATGGATTTGCTAGAATTTACACATAGAGTTCCTAATGTTTGTTAGCGAGATTGGTAATATTTGCAAATAAAATATGCAAACCAAAATGAATACAGATAATATGTAACAGGCTAACATTCGGTGAAAATTCAATGACGACGGAGCGCAATAAGCCTGTGACTACTACTACGTACATTTTCCTCTGGACTTTCAAAGAACCAAATGTACATTCTCCTAATCAAAATGGCACACCGCCATGTTTAGGAAGAAGAAGAAGAAGAAAAACCTACTTGAAGGGTTTCGAGGTTTACCAGCTCTAGTATCGCGGTCTTCCTTCCTTACCATGCATCCATACAAGCAACCCACACAAAAACATTTCATAGTTTCCCACGACTTTCTCGAGCTAGCTAGCTTTGACTCTCTCTCTCTCTCTCTCTCTCTCTCCCAACTAGCTAGAGAGAGAGATATAGTGCGAAAGCAATAGTTCAAGAAAGCCGTGGAAAAGCATGAAATTAAATGAGCTAATATCACCCATTAATCTTCGGCAATCATGTGTGGAAAATTGAGTGGTTATATATATATATATATACGCGTCTGAAACACAAAGAAAAAGAAAAGGGGATGGGCATGAACGAACATGGTGACGATATTTCGACGGGGAGCTGGCTTTTCTCCCGTCCCCATCCCCTGTTACTGTACACCTGCGCAACTGCATGCATGCGTGCTAGATTTACCACGTGGCAGTCAAAGAGAGCGGTGGTTGTAATTTGACCACATCTAGCTAGCTAGCTAGCTGGTGATGACGTCTTCCTGGAGGAGCGGCGGAGAAGCGGTGTTGGGGGATTCGGCGGCGGCCGGGGGCCGGCTCATATGGGGATCGTCAGTTTCTGATCAGATACGGGCATAATTTGTTCAGTACTGTCTCCAAACGTCACAGCCCTGAAAGAGTTACTGTTGCCTGTTGGTTACCGATGAATAGAGTTTTATTATTTACGCCGCCGTCCCTCTTTGCATGTCGTCCTTTTGCCCATGCTACTACTCCGGCCTGCCCGCCGCATTTCCCGCTGAGGATTCCCCAATGCCAGGCCCTCGATATTGTTATATATTGTTATTGAAAATTAATTAAGATATTAAAAGAATGAGGAATTTTACATTACTTTAAAGTATTGGTTGTTTATTTTATTTATGATATAATTTGAATTTGTACATTTACAATTATAATACAACTTTAGGTTGTACTTGTATGTGTGTTGTTTTTGTAAAATTGCTTTATGATACAAACTAAAGTTGTAACTTTATGTTACAACTTGAAGTTGTACCGCAACATAAATGTAAAATTCTCTTATGATACAATTTGAATTTGTACCTTTAACGTTATAAGACAACTTCAAATTGTACTTTAAATTACCAATACTTTAAATCATAATACAAGTGCTCTTAAAAGAGGAGGGTTACTTTTGCATCCGGCGTCTCCGACGACCCTACGTTGAACCACCGTGAATTGGAGAAAAAAAAAGCGAAGTAAACCATGGAAGAGACGGCTTCCGGGCCGGGGTCATACTAAACAGCTGGTGCTGCTCTTCCAATCTGTGCCACAGAGTAATGAAGGGCTCCAAGCAAACTGGAAATTAAAGCATGCTGTTCATAATAAAGAACCTCCAAGAAAGATTACCTTTATATCCTTATTATTAAACCAGACCAGACCACATGGGTGGACCAGTGAAACAGCCAACGGGTCATTAAAATGGTCCGGTCAAGAGTTGCACCCGTCAAGATGGACGTGATCAACGACGAAATCATTCGATTGGGTCTGGTTAGAACTATTGAATCGATTTCCACGTCATCACGAATAACGATATTTCTAATCCTATCTTATTGGACTGTTGGCCACTTCGTCTGGCCGCCTGCTTTTACCTTCTGCCGGTTGTTATTGAAGGCGTCCGGGTGACATTCGTCGATTTCAGTAACGCTTTCTTGGGATAGCTACACTTAACTCTTGAAGAGAGCAGTGGAGTTTAAACATGACCCCTCGGATCGTGAATAGGACTACTTCTAGAGTGTTATCATAATATTCTCCCCATCTTTTATTACGAGTATTTAGTTTATGGGAAGTTTAAGCATATTTGTTAACTCTTTATTTTAATTTTATTTTTTATATTTGTTTGTTAACTTGGTACCTGCATGACTAGCTTGCTTATTTCATTAGATCATGATCGATCATCCCCTTATTTTGTATAGGGTAGGAGATTGATTGTTGTTTGTTGTTTGGCCTCCCATCGATCTTATATCATATATTAGTTGTTGTGTTGTATCAGCATCTTGGCCTCAGTTACCGTGTGTATCTATCTGATTCGAGCATCATCGTGATAACAATAACTGCATTCATATTAGGATGTTTAGTAACTTTGCTTATAGATAGACAGATAGATAGACAAGATTAATGACAATGCTGATTTCGCTCTGCATGTAGATTTGATCCGCAACGGTTGCATCTACTGCCAGAAAGCAGTCTCCCATCCTCCCGTGGGAAAGTTCGAGTATGGTAAGAATGAGATGATTCGAGTATGGTGAGAATGAGATGAATGATCATAAGTTCAACGCCTAGAAGGTGAAGAGAAATCCAACCAAGTTTACATCTTCCCATACTGAAGCTGGAGAAACCTCTGTTGGTAGCTAGCTATAGGCCAAACTTGGTTTAACTTATAACTCTTATGTTCATTTCATGCGCGTTAAAACTTTTCTCTCATGCAGGTGGAAAGGAGTATGTTCTTAATTTTGTATTGCTATTAGAAGTACTCATAGCAGTTCTGATTCGAGTTAGTGTGTTGCTTGATGTTCATGTTCTGCAAGCAATACTCTTTTCAAGTATATGTATATCTATGATTCATCCTATAGAATATGACCATTTTGTCAAATATCAATATCAGCTTATGTTTATAACAAATTCCCAAAAAAGTTATTGATGCCTTACTTGAATGAACGAATCAGAAGTTTTTCTTAATTAAACTGATACAATGGAAAACAATCCTGCTTCTTTTCTGCCATCGATTTGTCACTAATGAATGAAAACCTAACCCAGTTAATTATGGGCCTTTTGCGACTCTACCTTCTTAGACACCAGCCATGATGAGGCCAAGAGCCTTCTTTGACACTTACACGACCATCATTCCCATATTTCACCTCGACCTGTGATCAGGGATGTGCAAGCATTACTCCTGAGTCCTGTGTACATGTATTCGGTGAGTTATTTATCGCTACTGCAGGAGTCTGCCGAATAAAACCCCGCTGAAGATGATAGCCCCAAACCATTTGTTCGACACAAATCTGGAAATGAAGAAGCAGCTGAGTCAGGGTTCTAATCAAGCCTACAACTACACATCTTAATCAGGGTGAACTACACATCTTACTTCCTGTTGCAATCAGCTCGACTGGATAGGTCGACCGTCTGAATCTGCCAAGCTAATTGTCCGGATGCTGCTGCTAAACTTACATAATATGGCCATCCTGTTTGCCAAGTGGGAGGGGGGAGGGAAGGTAAAAGAATAAGCAAAAATCCTTTCATTGTCATAACTAATTAACATATAAGAAATTGGACGGGTCGAAGGGAAACGAGTTTACCAAGATCGGCATTAAATCCACTGACAGCAAGACTGCTAACGCATGCAATTCCAAACCCTGTGATCCATAGCTTAGTTGAATCCCCAAATCTCAATGCTGTAGATTTAACACCCACTTTCAGATCGTCTTCCTTATCCTACATGTGCACTCACTGTCATTTTTCAGTACAAGGAACAAAAGAATAGAATCTGTATGAGATATCAAAATAGACACACTTCCTTTACTGAAAGCTAACTAATTGGTTTAAATACCAAAGAGAATATTACTGCAGACATATGTTGGTAGAGCCATACCTGATGTGCATATATAGTGTCATACACGAGAGTCCAGAACACTCCACTCGCATACAGTGGCAACACAATAGCTGGGTCTAGACTTCCTCTTATCGCAGACCAACCTAACAAAGCTCCCCAGTTAAACGTTAAACCCAGATACGCTTGAGGCTGGACATCATAGATGACAAAACATTGCAGCCCATCATAAAAACATTCGGTCAAGCAAGTAAACATCAAGTAAAATATAGAGGAATGGAATAAGCCACCATGCTTACCCAAAAGGTGAATCTCTTCATGAGAGGATATGAGAAAACCAGTAACAATGATGATGCTCCCAAAATCTTGCTGTAAAACATCAACTATTCATAAAAAACCGGAAAAAACAAATTCAACAAACTAGTTTCTTGTAACACTAGGATTAGGGAACACAAATATGCTAGACCGTCATTCAGTTCATTCTACACAGTATGCAGCAAAACTAAAGCCAAAATAGAGCCCCAGAACAGTACAGCTTGTGCACCCTTAAACCTAGCACTAACAAGTATCAAAGATCCTGACTTCAGCCTCTTGTAGAAATCTAAAGGATGACATCGGATCAGATAACAACCTGTAAAGCCTTGGAAGCTAGTTAAAAGAATTAAATTGATTGACAACCAACCTATAATCATTCAGTTGAAGGAGAATTCCAAGACCCAAAAGCAATTGAGAGCCGAGGAAACACAGCCCCTGAAATGGTGTCAAAAGACCACTAGCAATCGGCCTTAACCTTGTGCGCTCTACCTGCATTTCAAGAGCTCTCACAATCATCTCCTCAGAGCAAGCTAGCAATCCAACTCAGAATTCAATGGAAATCTTCAGCAGGGCAGCTAATAATATGATACCTTGGTGTCAATATCCCTGTCGAGAAGGTCATTAACCGTGCAACCAGCTCCTCGTAAAAGCAACGCCCCACAGCCAAACAGAGTCATCATCTTTATATCCGGTAGATGCCCGGGCTGAGCCGCCATCGAAATTGACCTGAAAGAACGACGAGCACAATCGGCGCTTACAAAATTGAAAATCTAGCAAATGAACACCAACCAGTACTCCCACACCTTCAATGTGGTTTCTCTAGCAGCAACGGATCAAGCTACAACAAACCGAAAACTAACCAAACACATAAAGAAAGAGCTCATACCACATACAAGGCCAAGCGAGTAGCCAAGTCCCAATCGGCTTATCGAGCCGCGCGAGCTTGGCGTAAGGCCGTACATATCTCGGTAAGTAGAGATCAACCCACGAAACCTCCGCCTTCAAAGGCTCCTCCCCTTGGCCTCGATTTTCTTTGTTCGATAGCGTCGAAATCCTCCCCACGAACCTCAAATTCAGGCCGCTCGGCCTCGCAATTTCCCGCGGGAAGTCGGAACTAGAAGCGAGACGAGAGAAACGCGAGAAGTGGCGCAGAAGCTGATTATTCGAGAATTCAGGCTTCGCACTTGCCGACAATGCGCCGACAGTCGAGCCGTCGAGCAGGGAGAGGGAATAACACAAGGCCTGCCGGAAATTGGGGCCGCCGCCGCCGCCGCCGGCAGATTTACGGGCGGCGTAGCGAAAGAGAAACGATGACATTTTCGGGTTGGACTAACCAGGTAGCGAAACAGCAAATTTCCACAACAAGATTAGAAGGTAAATCCAAGACCGTATTTATTTAATGGGCCTGCTTTTTACAGCCTATACCTGATCGGCCCATACTTGCATACATCTAATCCTATCCTAACAATGTTTTGTTAGTCAAAAATCAAAATCCTTTATGGATTTAACCTCCCAAACTCTGCAAAGAAAAGGAGTTTACTCACCCAAATCAGGTTTTCCGCCTCTATATATACGCTGCAATCTATTGCGAGAATGTGTTCAACGAAGTGGATTAGTAGTATTGAGTATCAGCCATGAGGGATAAAAAAGAATTAGTGGAGCTTTTACTCAAGGCAAAGTTCTATGGCGAATGCGAGCGCCATAATCACAGAAAGTGCAACTTCTTCTGCGTAACTTGCAAGGGCGCCATGTTATGTGATTTGTGCACCAACAATTCAGATTGTAAGCACAAGAGTCACTTGGTCTTTCAGGTAAGCCAGTCATATTTTACTTAATGTTGAGAAAGTCATTAAACACTTTATTCTTTCGTCGGAGTTTATGATTGTTTTTTTTTATTTATTTTGTCTGATTTCTTATTTTATCAAGGCATATAAAGCTTCGGAGTACGAAACACTGAAAATCATGGTTATTGGGGAGTACTTGAACATCTCACATATTCAGCTTTACAAGATCAATTATTTGGATGTTGTTTACATCAAGGCAAGGCCAATGAGGGGACAAACTTTGAGCAATAGAGATGTGCCAATTTGTGAAGAATGCGGACGAGAATTGGTGATACAGCAAGAAGGAGGTTCTAGTTTCAAGTTTTGTTCCATTGAGTGCAAATATGTAAGTATAGCTCTAGCCTTCTCAAGTAACTCTCCTCGCATTCGTTTGTACTGGTAGAATTTTATGTGATTTGAATGAAATCACAATAAGTTGGAAGAAGAAAAAAAAACCCTCATGTTGTTACTAATTTTGATTGCAGATGAGCAACGCTTGTAGTCTGTTGGACTGCATAGAAGAAGAAGACAATGTTAGGAAGGTTGAGATGGTCGACAACATCGATAAAGGCAGCAGAAAGAGAGTGTATGTTGACAAGGAAATCATTAGCAAACGTAAACATAGAAGGAAAGGAGTGCCTAGGCGATCTCCTTTGTTTTAGATAATATTTATTTTTATTAACGACTATAGTATTATGTTTAACATTCTTTTTTTATTTTTCGGTTCACAAGGTGTAATTTTTTTTATTTTTTCGTGTCTAATTATGTAATGCGTACAATATATCAAATTCTTTAACGAGCAGCATGAATGCATGTGATTTTGTCTTTGGTGTACTATTTTTTTGTATGCACGTTATGCTAAAAGATCATTCAAGATTTACAATTTTAAGGTTAGGGTTACAATTTGGGCTTATGGTTTAGAATTGAAGGTGTACGACCTAGTGTGTTATACATTTATTAGAATTTAGAAGTGATAATTAGGGATGGCAAAAATATCCGCAATCGTGGATATCCGCCCGAATCCAACATAATCGGGTAGGGTAAAACCCGAATCCGAAGGACTTTTAGTGGGTAGGGGTAAAACCCGAACCCGAATATTGCGGGTAATGGGTGGACATGGTTTTCTCACTATCCAACCCGAACCCGCCCGATTATACACATGTATATGTATTTTGTCTAGAAATAATCAATATTTTTGTCTAACATATTTTATGTTTACCATATAAATATAATATTTTTTGGAATTGTGTTTTTTAATTAATTTTATTCATTCTAGTGAATAATTGTCGTACTTTTCGTCTTACGTAACGTGAGAATAAGTGTGAATATTAATATATTGGTTGAAGTTATAAAGAGAAACCATTACCCATGGATAACCGTGGATACCCGAAACGCGAACGGGTATGAACATGGTTTGGATTTTCTACCCATTTCTTATGTGGGTATGGGTATGGGTAAAACCCGAACTACTTTGGGTAGGGTAGCGGATATGCACTATCCGTCCTCGACCCGACCCATTGCCATCTCTAATGATAATTCGATGTATTAAGACTAGTTCATTGTAAAAAAAAAAAAAAAACTAATTCTAGGGCTTATTTTTGCAAGTATTCTACAATGCATTTCATCGTCTATTAGTTTGTGCTGTGTAAGCATGCTACTAGGGGTGGGCAACGTGTGGGTTGAGTGGGTTTTGGTCTCAAATTGACCCACCCATTTATTAGTGGGTTGAAATAATTGTGACCCGCAATCCACCCACATACTTCTGCGGGTTGGGTGGGTGGCCGATGGGTCGCGGGTCAACCCGCAAAAGCAATTCTCCATCTAGCCATTAAAAAGTTGACTAACCTTTATAATTTGTAAGACTGTATCAATAATTTGTGATTTTGATACAATTAATAATTTATAGTTTGCATCCCAATATTTAATGGTTATTAATAATAATCTGCATACCAATATCCAATATCTAATGGATATTGCACAACAGAATGACCGACAGTAGTAGTCAAAACTGTTATTTATTCTCCACCTTTTGAAGTATATGGTCAGATTGTAATGCAGTTCGAAAATATGATCAATATTCGATACTATAAGAAACCACATTTTTTCATGTAAAAATAGGATCCGGGTCATGAGTGACCTGCAATCTACCCACCACCCACCCACATAAGTGCGAATGAGAAATTTATCAATCCGCAATCCACCCACATCAATCACCCACTACATGCGGATCGAGTTATTTGCGAATGGATCGATATTAATCCGCGAATTAACCACCCACGTGCCCACCCCTACATGCTACACCTACATGCTACAGTTCATTCCGTTATAGATTATGGGCTAAAATCCACTCGTACTAAAATAAACCTGAAATTTCATTACGTTACATGGTACACGGGGCTGTCATTGCCAAAGCCAAGTCCTTATGCTGTGCTACTGACTGGTACAAAGGAAAGAATATGGCTTAACGTTTCCATTCATCTCCTTCTGCCTATTTCGTTCCTAAGACTATGATTTCTCCTAAAGAATTTGATGGGAAGACATCATACAATGTCGTTGGTTTCAATTCAAAAACCAAATGGAGACTTCCGCCGACTCCCTCCTTCGCCGTACTGTTCGTTCCATTTGCGCAACTCGTTCATGCTCGCGGCGTCGAATGCAACCGAGGGACCAACCTGTTAAGACCACAAGGGTGTGAGAACAATCAAACAACCCCACTTGACAAACACAAGATCGCTTTGCAGTAAGAAAATGTCGCAATGGGGCACTACTGTTCAGTCACCTTAGCCTTCGATTGAACAAAATCGTCCAAGGTGAGCGATCTTAATGCTGGACCTTGAGCATCATCCTTCTGTTCCTATAAAGATTAGCACGAAAAACCTTGTTATGTTGGCGGTATGCTAAACTATACCATGGAGCAAGTTAGCGGGACAGAAGGCCAAGAAGAACAAGCAGTCAAGCATGCCAAAGCCAGAACACTGACAGGAGGACCTATTTCATGTTTCAGTCTAAATAGAGCCAACGATAAATTTACCGTGTTTTCTTTTTCAAGGACTTCTTGCACCGGTCGATATGCTGCTGCAATACAGAGGTTCTACAGAAGGGAAACAGAACACAATGTTATGAACAGTCTGCCGTTATGCAATCAAAAGACCCGTGTTAACCATCACACATTTCGGTACCTTTAAATCACTGCCAGAGTATCCTTCGGTTGCATTAGCAAGTTCTTCAAACTGGAAATCCGTTTGTAAATTCTCATTTCCGAGAATTATTTTCAGGATCTTCATACGATTCTCAGCATCAGGCAAGTCAACATATATTCTGAAATAGCCGATTCATAAGAAGCTCCATAAGAGAAACAGTCTTCGCTCCACATACACAAATTAAAATGGCATCCCTGTATGAAAACTAATGTTCTACACAGAAGACCGTTGTTCCTATAAAAGTCTTACCTCCTAGGTAAACGACGAATCACAGCATCGTCAAGATCAAATGGTCGATTTGTAGCGCCAAGGATGAGGATCCTTTGACTATCTTTGGATCTCAATCCATCCCATGCCGCCATGAACTCATTTCTCATTCTTCTCGTTGCCTCATGCTCAAAAGCACCACCACGTGCACCTAGCAAACTGTCAACCTATTGTCCTCCCAAGTTATAAGAAGTCCAAAGTCCAGAAGAAAGACCAAGTTATGGTTGTTCGAAAGCAGTAAAAGAAAAATGGCTGCACTAATAGTTAACCTATTTTGCAGATTGTGAGACGGCAATATGTACTATGTCAAGTATATTGAAGGACGTAAGAAGTGATGTTAAAAGAAAGCCTTTTACCTCACAGATATCCACAAAAGAAAGAACTTCAATTCAATGAGTTAATTTATGACTATGCAATAATCATTATTTCTTCCAAACATTATTGGTTCTTTTTCAGTATTTCGATCATCAAATATCAAAGATTGGGACACCACAAGTAAAACAGACAGTGATTTAGGGAATCACCTCGTCAACAAATATGATAACAGGAGCCAGCTTGCTGGCGAACGAGAAAAGGGCCTTCGTTAACTTCTCGGCATCTCCAAACCACTACATCACAAAATTAAGGAGGCTAAGAAACCCACCGAAGAGAGTAGGGCAGATGTAATCCAGTCTGAAATGCATGCTAACTGGGGAGCAATAAGACCCTAATTTATCTCTATGAGGAAAAGAATAAACGAACCAATTTGGACCATTACATGCATACAAAGGTAAAAAAATGAACTGACAAGTATGAGCAACATATGTTCAAATAATAGAATATAGTTTCTTCAGCATACCTTTGATGTAAGAGTGGAGCCTGTTATGCTGATAAAGTTTGCCCCAGCTTCAGTGGCAAGAGCTTTAGCAAGAAGCGTCTTCCCAGTTCCAGGAGGTCCAAAAAGCAATATTCCTTTGCAAGGCTGGAAGAAATTTATCAGAATAATCAATCAAATTGGCAAAGCATTGAGAAGATTAGATCCATTTTGTTAGCATAAAAATTCAATACCCTCAGTAAATTCCCATGAGAAAAAAGTTCTGGTCTCCTCATAGGGAGAATGACAAGTTCATTCAAGGCCTTCTTGACATCTTCGAGAGCTCCTACATCATTAAATCTCACACCAATCTCCCCAGGCGGTACTACGGCTGAAACAAAGTTCTTTTCATATTCATCCTTTGCCATGTTCTGACAAATTTTGAACAAATTAGACAAGAATGTTAACCCCAAAGCACAAGCCACACAATAAAGTGATAAGACAGAAAATACAAAACATGCCTTCAAACTTTGAGATGGCTTTCTTGATGCGATTTCGTGATCTTTCAACCTCAAGATAGCAACTTCAAGGCTTCATGTACCCCAAAAAAAAAAAACAACAATTAAGCTTTGAAGAGAGCTCTTTAACATGTAAACAAGAACAAAATTTCACTAAAAACAGCAATAACTTATAATATTATACACACCTCTGGCGAGGCAAGACCAATCTTTCCCCTTCTACGGATGGAAGTAGGCAAGAAGCCAGATGGTGATTCTTGGCCCAGCCAACAACTTTCTCAGCTTCTGTTAAAAAAGCAGGTCCAAGTTACAATGTTACTATCACATGAGAAACAGAGCATACTTATAAAGTGGGATTGTCTAAAGCATGCCACTTACTCTGCTTAGTCAGCACTACACCTTCAGTATCTACATCCAATAACTGGGCACATGACATCTCATTTTCATCAAGAACCTGCAATTATGGATCCAAATATTTCCATGGCTCATAGTCGCTACTTATCAGCTACTACTAGAAGAAATCTTAAGAAACAATACATCCTGTAGAGTAACAAACAAGTAGAAAATAACTATATACCTTATGTAGTTCATTAATATTGCTCCTCGATATCACAATCTTCCTATCCTCTTCAATCTGTTTGTTGAATGTTATAAGGATATCTTCTTCCTGTAAAGAAATCAGGCAGTGGGAGGACTGAGAAGACAGGGGATGGGGGATACAAACTTATGGTGCCAACATTTCTAGCATTTAACTGAGCTTCCCTGTCAAATTATTAAAGGACAATGGGAGACTCATTAACTCAACTCCAACACCCTTTATGCAAATTGAATTGCCTATGTTTTTTCATTAACAGAACATGCCTCTAAACACTCCTACATTACTTCTTCATGTCCATCTTCTATTGATTCTATAGTACAAGGTGTCGATTGGAGCTATATGCTAAATGACAAGGTGGGATCTCAAAGATGTCACTTG